CCGCCTTTGACTCTCCTACTTGTGCAAAAGACAGATGGGTCATGGAGAATGACAGCTGACTATCACAAACTTAATCAAGTAGTGACTCACAGTGCAGTGGCCATGCCAGGTATGGTTTCCTCACTTGGGCAAATTAACACATTTCCTGGTACCTATTATGTATCTATTGATCTGACAAATGCTTTTGTCTCAATACCTGTCCGTAAGGACCAACAGAAGCAACTTGCTTTCAGCTGGCCCAGCAATTCACCTTTATTGTTCTACCTCAAGGGTGTATTAATTCTCCAATTCTGTGTCATAACTTAGTTCAAAGGCATCTTGATACCTGCCTCTTCAACAAGGTATCATGTTGGTCCACTATATTGATGACATTAGGATGATTGAGCCTAGTGAGCAATCACTTTCAACTTGTTAGCAAAACATCAGAGGATGGGAAATAAATCCAACCAAAATTCAAGGACCTTCTACCTCAGTGCAATTTCTAGGTCTAGTGGTATGAGGCATATAGAGATAATTCTCCTAAGGTGAAAGAAAAGTTGTTGCATCTGGTCCCTCCCACAATACAGTTCTTAGTGGACCTATTTAGATTTTGAAGGCAGCACATTCTTCACTTGGATGTGTTGCTCTGACCCATATACCAAGTGACTCCAAAAGCTGCTAGCTTTGAGTGGGGCCTGGAACAGAATGAGGCTCTTCAACAGGTCAAGGCTGCTATGCAGGCTGCTCTGTCACTTGGACCATATGATCTACCAGACCAGATGGTACTTGAGGTATCAGTAGTAGATAGGATACTGTTTGGATTCTCTGGCAGGCCCCTATAAGTGAATCTCAGTGGAAACCATTGGAATTTTTAAGTAAGGCCTTATTGTCATCTGCAGACAACTATACTCCTTTTGAGAGACACTTTTGGCCTGATATTGGGCCTTAGTGGAAACTAAACATTTGACAATAGTCCACCAACTTACCATGCAACCTGAACTACCCATCATGGACTGAGTGTTATCTGATCCACCAAGTCATAAAGTAGGACGTGCACAACAATGATCCATTATCAAATGGAAGTGGCATATGCCTGATTTGGCATGAACAGGTCCTGAGGGCACAAGCAAGTTAGATGAAGAATGCTTATGGTTCCTACTCCTGTTACAATGCCTTCTGTTTCCAAGCATATACCTGTGGCTTCATGGGGTGTGTCCTATGATAGGTTGACTGAAGAAGAGAAGACTAGGGCCTGCTTTACTGATGGTCTGCACACTATGCTGACACGACCCAGAAGTGGACAGCTGCAGCATTATAACCTATGACAACCCCAAAGGGAAATCTATACATTGGACAGAACAGTTATGACAGTCTTAAAGGGGAATCTACACATTGGGCAGAACTTGAAGCACTGCATATGGTCATGCATTTTTTACTTAGAAGAAAGAGTCAAACGTGATTATATACTGGTTCATGACCTACAGCCAGTGGTTTGGCTATATGGTGGGGGCCTTGAAAAGCGTATGATTGGAACATTGGAAAAATTTTTTGGAAAGAGGTATATAGATATATCTCTCCAAAATGAGCAAAGGATGCATAGATACTTGTGTCCCATGTAAACACTCACCAAAAGGTGATCTCAGCAGAAGAGGACTTCAATAATCAAGCAAAATAGGGTGACTTGTGCTATGGATTGTAGTCAACCTCTTTCCCTGGCCATCCCTATCATTATCCAATGGGCCCATGATCAAAATGGCCATGGTAGTAGAGATGAAGGTTATATATGGACTCAACATGGGTTTCCACTCATTAAGGATGATCTGGCTATGACCAATAAGTACAAAATCTGCCAGCAGCAGAAACCAACCATATGGGGCTCAGTGACCAGCCTGTGACCTGGTGGCAGGTTAACTACACTGGACCACTCCATCATGGAATGGGAAATGCTTTATCCATACTGGCGTATATACTTACTCTGGTTATGAATTTGTCTTCCATGCATATAATGCTTCTGCAAAAACAATCATCCATGGACTTATAGAATGCCTTATCCACCATCATGGTATCCCACATAGAATTGCTGCTGATTAATGAACTCACTTCACAGCCAAAGAAATGTTGTAGTTGGTTCATGAGATTCACTGGTCTTACCATGTTTCCCATAGTCCTGAAGCAGCTGGCTTGATAGAACAGTAAAATGACCTTTTAAAAACACAACTACAGTGCCAATTAGGTAGAAATTACTTGGAGGGCTGGGACAAGGTTCTCCAGAAAGCCCTATATGCTCTGAATCAGCATTTAATATATGGCACTGTTTTTCCATTAACCAGGATTCATGGTCCAGGAATTAAGTAGTAGACATGGAATGGTACCATTCCTATCATTCTTAATCACTCACCAGCAAAACTTTTGCTTTCTGTACACGTGACCTTATGCTCTGCTGATTTGTAAGACTTGGTTACAGGTGGGGGACTGCTTCTGCCAAGAGATACACACCATATATAGTTTCCATTGAACTGGAAACTAAGTCTTCCCCCTGGCCACCTTGGGCTCCAGGGTGACTGATCCAGATTACTAAGGGGAAATTGAACTGCTTCTCCACAGTGAAAGAAAGGATGATTGTGTCTGGAGTGCATGACATCCTTCAGGGCATCTCTTGGTGTCTTGTGATTCAAGTCAATGAGAAACTCCAACTCAGTCTAGGCAGGATGACAAAGGGTCCAGACCCTTCAGGAATGAAGGTGTCACCCCTCCAGGTAAGAACCAAGACCTGATGAGGTGTTAGCTGAGGATGGAGAAAATACAGAGTGGGTGGTAGAGGAAGTTAGTTATCAATACCAGCTAGGACCATGTGATCAGCTAGAGAAACAAGGAATGTTATCACCATAAGTGTTTATTTCCTGTTTTTGTTAAGGAAATGTTTGAGTACATAAATACACACATATTTATGCTTTCTTTCCTTTCCCACTCCCTGACTGTGTAATATAACACTGACTGAGACAGTATCAGTAGTTAAGTATTATTACACCTATGCTCTTGTATTTCATTTATGGGATACTAAAAACATTCCTAAAGTGACTTTGTCATCTATCCTGGGTGGAGAACAGTGTGTTTTCAGTTATAAATGGGATAACCGAATCATGTTAAGTGGAATTATGATTCTGATATTGTCTTCATTTGGTAACTAAGCATGACACAATGAGATATGGTTGGGTGTCATGTTGATATTAGGATTTCTGTTGGTTAATCTTTTTTTAATTTTTTAAATTTTATTATTTTTATTTTGTGTGTATGAGTGTTAAGCCTGCGTGTAGATAAGTGCACCTGTGTCATGCAGTGCCTGCAGAAGACAGAAGAGGCTGTCAGATCCCCTGGAACTGGAGTTATGGACAGTTGTTAGCTGCCATGTGGGTGCTGGGATTCGAACCCAGGACTTCTGCAAGAACAGTCAGTGTTCTTAACTACTGAGCCATCTCTCCAGCCCCATCTGTTGGCTAATCTTGATTATGAATTTGACAAGATCTGGAATCAGCTAAGAGCCACTGCTCTGAGTGGGTCTGTGAGGAAATTTCCTGGAAGGATTAACTGAAGGTAGAAGACCCTCCCTCAGAGGGGGCAACCCTTTTTGACAGATGGCCCAAATGTAAAGAAATTCAAGGTCAAAAGTGTGTTACTTGCCCTCTGGCCTTTGCTTCTTACTGGTGTGTCTATCTTTCATTAACATCAGAATTCAGCCTTGACTGACAACCAGAAACTCTCCAGGAATCATCCAGGCCTTCAGCAACAGATTGGGGCTGCTGACACATCCAGTTTCATAGACTAAGCAGCTACCAGGTTCTCAGCCTCCCCAGTGTGTAAGACAGCTATGATTGGACTACTTGGCCCTTATTAGTTATACACCATTCTAGTAATATATACATATAATGCTTATACACTCAATTGGTTTTGTTGCTGTAGACAGCCCTGCCTAATTGGGGATTGGAAGGAAGCTTCTGGACTGGGATGCAGAGAGGAAGGAAGTCCAGGGCGGGATGTGCAGTGGGAGGAGGTGAACAGGGAGCTAGAAGGAAAGAGGCCCTGGTGAGAGAAAGCAGTACTGGAATCAATGGCACTGGAGGTGGTGCCCTTACAGGTGACACTGAAATGCAAAGTGTGGCTCTGACAATAGGAAGCCAGTACAGCATGGAGGAAAGGATGCTGGGGAGAAGGGGAGGATGCTGAGAGAGCAGCCCTTCCTAGAAGTGTAGCCTTTCTGGCAGAGGCCATGGTGGTCCCTTCTAGAAAAAAAAGTGGTTAGGCTAGTGGTATGGCTTAGGAGAAGAGCCCTTTACTAAGGAGCATAGGACATTCAGTGTTTCATCCCAGCACCACAAAGGAAAACAGAGCACTCAGCTCTGACCCAACTTGTACAATGAAGTCCACTGACGCATCTTGAGAGTGGAGAGTAAGATAAAAAGGACAAGACCTGAGGAGTTGCGGGGAGAAACTGCCCACATCTGTCTTCTGCCCTGCAGTGTCCCTGTGAGTGGAAGTAGAGAGAATCAGAGCTCATTCCTACAGGGGAAGAAGCAGTTCAGAGAGGTATGGACACTGGCCTGAGACTAGCAGAGATGGGCTGTGGAAGTGAAAGATCCCACACACTCCATTGGAAGGCTTCAAATCCAACAGTGGAAACTGAATGGACCAGAGGATCCTGCTCTGCACACCCTTGGAGCCTGTGAATAGGACAGGCTAGAATGAGGGGAAGAGACTTTAGATTGTTGAGTCCTGGTGAGAACATGACCCAAGGTTGGCTGGAGGCAGAAAAGGAAAAGAAAGAGCAGGGCCTCAGAGCATTGGTTGGACAGAGAAGGAGAGTGGAAATACCGGTCAGTGAGGAGAGGGGGGCTCCCTCCGCCTGCCTGACTTAACTGTCTTAAGCCCCAGCCCTCTCCTGACCCCCAGCTCCCTGACTGCCTTTCCTGACTCCTCAGGAACACATCCACTCAGACATCCCAGACCCATCCTCCTCCCACACTCACCATGCCCAGGTGACCCCAAAACCAGTTCCGTTTAGGGGGCTGAGGGAAGCAGCAAAGGCGGCAGCAGTTGATATCGAAGAAGTAAATCCAGGCCAGAATTCGGGCCAGGAGCCAGGAGGCCCCAGCCAGCAGCAGGAGCTGCCATGGGGAGGCCACCAAGGGCCCCAGTCCCAGCCAGGACAGGCTCAGCTGTGGCATCCTGCAGAGCAGATGGACAGTGTTAGATTTAGGAGAGCAGAAAAAGGAGGAAGTTTAAAGTTGACAAATAAGAACCAGAGCCAGACCTGCAACAGGCAAGAACTATGTCCTTTTTAATTCAAGAGAACATAGCAAAGAGCCTGTGCCTTGCCGGCAGATACAGACATCAGCAAAGTAAGCAAAGCAATCTAGATTTTATATAAGAACTCTGCTGAACACAGCTGTAGGAATGTGCTGGGTGTCAGATGTCAGTGTCACACAGGAAAAGGGGGGACACAGAGATAGAAACTGTTTGAGTCTAGAATGGCCTAGCCTTAAGCATAGGACAGTGGCCCCAACTCCGGTTACCCAGAAACCACCAGTCTCGGGCCATCTGACTCCCTGGAGCCACTCCAGCTGTTGGCAGAGCTTTCCCTGTTCAGAGCCATGGCCCTCCCTGCTGCCCCCCAGCCTGGCACCTTCTCTCTGAAGCGACGGGTCCCCCAGGACCTCCTCTTCTCTCCTAGGAAACTTCTCTGATCCTGGCTTCTGACCTGGGAGGAGGCTGTGTGGGAGGCTGGGCTAAGCTGAGCAAGTCAGTTCCTCAAAGGCGGAGCTGCATCCTTCCTGCCTGGGCAGGAGACCAAGAGGGCTGGGGCAGCCAAAACAGAGGGAACCTACGGGGTCACAGGCTCAGGCAAGCAGGGGATCCTCAGGATTCAGGACCTTCCGTGTGAATCAGGGCCAATGATGACCCTGGACCACTATGTTTGCAACCACCTCGGCCCTCCCAAGGTCCAAGACTGCAGATAAAAACATAAACGTAAGAGTTCGGGTGCTAGGAGACCAGGCTCAGCTCCTCTGCTCATGGCTGAGTGACGGGGCAGAACTGGGAAACTCCAAATGCCACTGCCCTATGGGTGCACCGCCTGGCAGAGTTCAAGCTCTGCCCTCTTGCAGTCAGATCGTGGGTGGAAAGGAAACTTCCAGAGCTTTGCTGCAATCTACGGGGTCAGATTCCAGAGATTAAGCTCCCTGCCAGAGCGGAGGAGTTCAGTACAGAGGGAATGTGTGAGCACCTAGGGTACAGGCAGAAGAGGGCAGAGCTCGCTGTGGACTGTCTTCCCCTACATCATGTTGTAGTTAAAACACTAAATATACAGAATAAAGTGTATTGAGTGCTGCAAGAGAAAAACACTAAGAGATATGTAAGGCCACCAGAGCTACACCGGTGTGAAAAGCCAGAAGGGTTGGAATGATTTCAAGTTCTGAAAGGTAACAGCTGCCATCTCAGAATACTACACCTAACAAAGCTACCTGTCATAATGGAAGGAAAATAAAAGCTGTCCATGATAAGAATAGACTACAGGAATTTATGACCATACGCCAACTCTACAGAAGATATTGGAGGGAACCCTTCAGATTGAAAAGGAAAACAAATGTACCTATGCGGCCACAGGAAATAAAAATGCTGGGATTATTCTAAGCAAGAGAGAACGAGGAAACAAACTACAAAATCAAAGTGTCAGGACTCAAATCACAACTTTCAATAGTAACTCAATATTAATGGTCTTGTTGTGGGACAGATCAGCCCTTTTTGGCTATCCTTCTGGAAAACAAAAGGTTTTTTTGTTTGTTTGTTTGTTTTTGTATGTTTTTCCTTTTAGAGCATACTTTGGAGATCTTTTATTTATTTACTTATTTTTAGCTATGTGTATGAATGTACTGCCTGCATGTATGTAAGTGCACCTATGTCATACAGTGCCTGTGGAGGTCACAAAAGACCATTCGATCTCCTGAAACTGGAGTTACAGATTGTTGTTAGCTGCCATGTGAGTGCTAGGAATCAAACCCAGATCCTCTGAAAGAGCATCCACTGCTCTTAACCTCTGAGCCATCTCTCCAGCCCTATTCATTCATTTATTTATTTATTTTTGACATTTATTATAAATTGGCAAACCATAAATTTTGAATGGAGGTCAAAAGAAATAAGAGGCAAGCCTAACAGCTCTCAGAGTGAATTTTCCACCAGTCAGTCTGGATTAGAAAAACCATGTTACAATTTACCATACCTAATCTTAGATTTAAACATTTATAATATAAAGAATAAGGAGCACAGAGGACAATAGCATTTTAAAAGAACTTGGGACAGACTATATTGGAAGGCTGAAAAAAGTCAAATTCAGAGTATCAGTGTAGAAAGAGTAGGTAATAAAACCTATTGGGGCTGTTTTTGTTCTTCCCTTCCTTGTGTAAAACCTCTTGGGTTTCAGGCACTGGCACTCCAAGCCTGAACTCCTGGCCCAGTGCCTCTGGACATATTAAGATCTGGGCTCTAGCATTTTAGATCAATTAGTAAACCTGCATAAAACCACTGACCCAGAGAGGAAAGGGGTCCTACCTGGGAAGAGTCCGTCCAAGTACCCCAGTGACTCCTTCCCTTGTCCCATGTCATTTAGAGCCCTTTTTCAGGCTCTGCTCTACTCTTGCTGATGAGGGCACATGGCTGTAACCACAGTCAGAGTATTAAGACCTCTTAGGACAATAGATATCCCTAGGACAATAGATATCCCTGTTTAATTTAATATTAGCCTCTCCACTTTGGAAAATCTATCAATGAATGGCCTCCTATTAGGTAACCTCCTCATTTATTTGTGGAGTGCAGAAGTTGTTCCTGGATTTGTGGTTTGCATCCCGCCCTGTGTACATTTTTACACATTTTCATACAGACAAGGTCAGAAAATTTCTATACCACCCTCAACCAAGAATTTCAAGACAAAAATAATCCCAGATTGCCAACCAAAAAGGTGTCACAGTTTCATCCTTCCTGGTGACTGAACCTGGCCAAAGACTACTTGGGTGTCCCCCATGATGGTTTAGGCTCTGACTTCCTCCAGGAAATGTCTAGTCAGAAGGTACTCCAGGACCCTTATAAGGAGATCAATCTCCTCTTCCACCAATTTTGGTGGGTCTCCTACTGACCCTGAGTCCTACTGTGATGGCAGCTTATCAACAATTAGATGGTTGCTAAGAACTTTGGACCATGAAAGAGCCCAAGATAAACTAGAAATAAGAAAATAAGGAGGAAGGTAAACAGGAATCTGCCCTGGTAAACAGGAATCTGCCTCCACCCCCTTAGGGTTGTTTTGTTTTTGTTTTTGTTTTTGTTTTTGTTTTTGTTTTTGTTTTTACCAGATCATTGAAATCTTTGTTTGCCCAACTGCTACATTCTTGTGATCTTTTGTCTTGTGATTTTTTGTAACCATATGTTTATGTATAACCACTCGCTTAATTACCAGTGTACACTACTTGCTGCTTAAACTCTCACATATGAGTAGACTATAAATTTCCCTAAAAAGTGGAGCTGGGGGCTGGAGCTATTGTGGAGGGATCTGAATGTCAGTCTGACAGCTTGAATAAATTCTCTCTCCTTCACCTGGACTGGCTGTTGGTCTCCTGATTTCCAGAACTTCCCACCACACTACCTGTTTAGTTGGGTGATGTTCCAAATCCCTGCTCCTGGTTCCTGTCACCCTTAGTTTCGTTGTGCTCAGGGACAGCATTTCTGAGACACCAGGTGAATTATTCTTCTTACAGACTCAAAGAGCCTCCAGCACCTTTAAGGAGCAGCATCCCACAGAGTCACCAAGAAATGTTGCAGGACAGATCAGGTAGGACACCAGGAAATGCAGGAAGCAGGTTTATTTAGGCTATAGCCTATAGCTCACAGGACTTAGTCCCAAAGTCTGGATCCCCAAAGGAGGAAGCGTGCATGTTTTATACCTTAGGCAGTGAGTTACAGTGATAAGGAAACTTAACTACACTCTCAAAATTAATCAAATTATAATATAATTAGAAAGTAAACAAATGTTTCCAAAAAAATCCTCTGTCTGAAAATCATTGCAGAAGTCTCCATATGAAAAAAACAGAATTGAGGAAGTTTCATCAGGACCCAAGGCCAGTGTCTAGGTAGCTGTGTTAGCATTCTAACCACAAACTAGTCAGCTGAAATTTGCTGACAGAGACAGAAGGAAGAAACAAGAATTAAAATTCATATTTTCCTTAAATAGTCCATTCAGTCTCAGTTCTATTAGTCAAATGCACAGACTAGTAGATTGGATCAAAAATCAGGAACTATTTGTTGCCTCCAAGAACCTCACCTTGCCACGAAAGACCTATACTAGCTTAGAATGAAATGATAGATAAAGGCATTCCCAGGGCCAGTGAGATGGCTCAGTGAATAAGAGTAGCTGCTGCCAAACCTGACAACCTGAGTTTGAGTCTTATGACCCACATGGTGGAAGGAGAGAATTGACTCATGCAAGTTGTCCTCTAACCTCCATACACGCATCATGATATGTACACACCTACAAACATACATATACACACACAAAAAAAATTTCTTAAAGGTATTCCAAGCAAATGGACCTAGGAAACAAATAAGCAGGAGTTGTTTTTAAAATCTGACAAAATATACTTCAAACAAAACTAGTGAGAAAAGATGAAAAAGGTCACTTCAGAGGCTGATGAGTTGGCTCAGTGGACAACTCAAGCTTGACAACCTCAGTTTGATCCCCAAAACTCACAGAAAGATACAAGGAGAGAACTCTGACCTCATAGGTACACAGGTGCAGATGCGCGCGCGCACACACACACACACACACACACACACACACACAACAATAATAAGTAAAACATGGTTTTTTTTAAAGTCATTTCACACTGATTAATGGAACAATCTATTAAAAGGACATTACAATTCTGAACATAGACACTCCCATCACAGGTGCGCCCAGCTTCACAGAGCCACAGATTAAGCCCAGCACAATAGTAGTGGGTGACTTCAATACCCCACTCTCACAATTGATAGGTCACCTCAACAAAACTGCAGAAATACCTGAAAGGTCTAGGGAGGGATACTGGGCAGATTTGGGGGTATGGAGTTTATCAGAAGAGTTATTAATGTCATGGACAGATAGACAGCAGCATGGTGGGGGTCTCTGAGGAAAGTTCAGGCTCCAGCACCAGAAACAGACAGCATGGTGGAATTTCTAAAGAAAAGAATCAGAGCCCATGTGGTAGAAGTGGGGAGTATGTTCTCTTATACCTGACGATTCATGAGATTCACAGCTCAAGCCTGTAGTCAGGTTCTATGATTCCCAGGTAGGAGGCAGGGAAGCAGGTAGAAGCAGGATGTGTGGCCATCAGTACCCTCTTTGATGTAAACTCACTTCCAGGTGAGAAACTCTGACATCTGGAAGTCTGTTAGCAAGAGACTCACAGTCAGTGCCTCAGTGCTAGATTCTAACATCACATACTTACAATATTTTAATTAAATGACATCCTCGATCAAATGGACTTAACAGACACCTACAGAACATCCCATCCAAGCGCTACAGAATACATATTATTCTCAGTAGCCCATGGAATTTTCTCTAAAATAAACCAAACATGAAGACACAAAATAAGTCTTAACAAATAAGAAAATTGAAATAATTTTTGTATTCTATCTGATCACAATGGAATAAAACTATAAATCAACAGCAAGAAAAAGCTTAGAGCATGCCCAAATGCATGGAGATTAAACAACACACTATTGTAGGATAAATGAAGAAATCAAAAACATTAAAAATTCGTAGAATCAAGGGAAAATGAAAACACAATGTACCAAAACCTGGGATACAGTAAAAGCTGTCCTAAGAGGGAAGGGATTCCTTCAAGTATCTTCTGCAGAACTGACTTGTGGTCATAAATTCCTTTAGTCTATTTTTATCACAGAAAGCTTTTATTTTTCTTTCCATTTGACAGATTGCTTTGCTAAGTGCCTACATTTAAGATATTAGATCTCAAATAATAAAACCTTAAAGCTC